GAAGGGGTGCCGCCAGGGGTGTTTGCACGGGCCCGTTCGTGCCATTTTGTGGGATGCCTCAGGCGGTTTACTTGTTGTCATGCTCAACATCTTCTGTTTACAGAGCAGATTGTGAGGATGTCTCAGGCGGGGCGCTGGTTTCAACACCCCTAAGGGGAGCCGCCGGGGGTGTTTGCACGGGCCCGTTCGGAGCCATTCTGTGGGGGTGGGGTGTTTTCATTGCCCGTTCGCGGCCAATTTGTGGCGATGTCCCAGGCGGTTTGCTCGTTGTCATGCCCAACGTCCTTGGCTGTCATATCGGATTCTGAGGATGTCTCAGGCGAGGCGCTTGTTTCCGCGTCCCTGAAAGGATCCGCCAAGGGTGTTTGCACGGGCCAGTTCGCCGACAGTTTGTGGGGATGTCTCAAGCGGTTTGCTGGTTTTCATGTCCAACATCATTGGCTTCCAGAGCAGATTTTGAGGATGCCTCAGGCGGGGCGCTCGTTTCAACACCCCTAAAAGGAGCCGCCAGGGAGTAGGGCACGGGCCCGTTCGCGGCCAGTTTGTGGGGATGTCTCACGAGGTTTGCTTGTTTCCATGCCCAACATCATTGGTTTTCAGAGCAGATTTTGAAGGTGTCTAAGGCGAAGCGCTTGTTTCAACACCCCTAAAAGGAGCCGCCGGGGAGTGGGGCGCGGGCCCGTTCGCGGCCAGCTTGCGGGGATGTCTCAGGCGGCTTGCCCGTTTGCATGCCCGGCATCTTTGCGAACGGCCAGAGCCGAGGCGCAAACCGCGAGGGTGCCATTTCCATTTGTAGCACTTGCCTTTTTGCACGTCATGTGCCTGCGACTTCGGTTTGTGTTGCCAGCTAGGCCCGATGCGAAGTGCGGACGGTTAAAGCTGAAGTGCAGGTCGCGGGGTGCCGCTTGAAGCACTTGTCATTCGCGTTCCCCTTGGTGCTCCGGGCGCGGCGCCGATGGAACTCGTTGCCGTGACCAAAAAGATGCGCGTTCATATGCATGTGAATGAATGCATGCACGTGGTGGATGTGCAGCCGCGCTGCGCGCGCGCGTGCTCGCCGCTCACATCGGCGCGCTCGCGGACCAAACAACGATCATGGACAAATGCTCGCCGTGGCACTATCCTACAACACTATATGAACATATGGCCTTGTGTGGCTAAGCGCTCGTTTTACGGATCCCACTGCCGAATATCCTAAACCATATGCACATTACCACGGGCTGACGAGGGCGCGGCCTGGCAGCTGAGGAGGAGGAGTGAATGGGAGGCTCATATTCAATCATATTCAAAGCTCACTCTGACTCATACTCACCCACTCGTATTAGGATTGATTCGTCTTCGCCGGCAATGTCGCCCACGTCGACGCGCTATTATAGTCAAGCGCTCATGAACAGACGCTCACTATGGCATGACGTGAAACATGAGATGCACAAATGGGGAGCTCCACGCAGTGAGTAATTGAAGAACCTGCTTTTGATTCCAAGAGTTCGCAAGAGCGCGCAGAATTATTGGAACACCACATTGCGGAAACATCGTTTGTGTATGTCATGCATTCTCGGGGCACTCGACCTTTGAACCCGCGCGAGACTGCAGGTTGAAAACTGATTGTTGCATGGGCGCGCGACGAGGCGCGCGTGTGGACTCCGATTCACCTGTTCCAAGGGAGTGTTGAAATGTGGTGGCCTGTGGTGCACGATTGCGCGCACATCGCATCATCGACAAGAGCCAGGGGGGTGTCGATATTCGTTTGGTCTGGATGAGATGAAAACGTGTTGTGAATGTGATATGGGCCAGCATCATATGTAACTTTCACACACCCCAGGTGCCCAATTACCGTGGGAGGGGCATGTCATCATTATTTATACGGGGGATTCACGTGGCGCAGCCCATGCGATGCGAAATAAGTTGCACGATCTATGTCGTGCAAGCTGCGTGGTGCTAACAGTTTTGAACAGGTTCGAGTTGTCAGTTCCTCTGCTCGTGCAATCACCCCACCCATCCACCCGCATTCTGGTTTGCAAAATCCATGCGGCAACGATCGTGACTAGTGCTCGCCGTTGCCTGTCGAATTCTTATGGCCACGATAACGCGCGCAAGCTCGCGCGCAAAGCAACCAGGTTGTGTGGTACAGCCGACGCGGCCGCGGCGGCGTTGACCGTGCTGGGGTTGTCCAGCGCCTCTGACAGGCCGCGCTGGTGCGCGGGCGCTTCATTGCGGGTTGGTGGTTCGGGCGGGCGTGGTATCATGGTGGCGTCGACAACGGCGGAATCGATGATGATAGCAAGTGTGACGGTGACGATGAGGTCGACGACGGCAAAGCCAATGACTGCGACGATGCTGGCCATGCCGATGACGATGATGCTGCCCACGCTTCGTTGATGAAGGTTTTGGAAGGATCCGACGCGCGCGAGTAGCTCATATTGTATTATTTGACACGGATCGCCCCCCCCAAAAAAAATAGCGTACAAGGGGGTTCGGATGATTCCAGCACGCGCGTGCGACGGGCCCGCGTTGTCATGAGTCAGACAACTATTTTGACACAGTTGCTGAGTGTGGATTGTGTGGCTATTGTTGTCGGAAGCCTCGATTTTGAAATCCGTAATGGACCGAAAATTGCTGAAGGATTCCGACTGCGCTCGCGACGACGCGCGCGCGGACATCATCACAATTTGTGCAAGGCTTGACGTGGATATTTCTGAGTTGTCGTAAGCGAGCGCTCGCGCATAGTATTGTCCGGAATGGATGACATTGGGGAGCGCTAGAAACAGGAAGGGTCCGGTTCGGGCCGGTTCGGGCCGGTTCGGCGGCGGGCCGGTTCGGTTGCACCATGAGTTCGGTTTTCGGCGCCGGTCCGGTTTGAGCCGGTCCGGTTTGGCGAGTCCGGTCGGTTCTGCCGGTTCGGGTCGGGCGGCGGTCCGGTTTTGGGCGGTTCGGTTCGGGGGTCGTCGACCTCCAGGGGGGTCGTCGACTCTCGGGGGGATCGTCGACCGGCGGGGGGGGGGATCGCCGTTGAACAAAAACCGAGGAGGAGGCCAGCGCCATCCCCCCCGTGGCCCCGGCCACCCCCCCCGTCGTGGCCGGGGCCACCCCCCCCGTGGCCGAGGCCACCCCCCCGTGGGAGCCTCCGAGGGAGCCTCCGAGGGAGCCTCCGAGGGAGCCCCGGGGGGCCCGAAAGGGGGGGGGGGGCACGGGGGGGGTGGCCCCGGCCACGGGGGGGGTGGCCCCGGCCACGGGGGGGTGGGGCCACGGGGGGGTGGCCCCGGCCACGGGGGGGTGGCCCCGGCCACGGGGGGTGGCCCCGGCCACGGGGGGGGTGGCCGCGGCCACGGGGGGTGGCCCCGGCCACGGGGGGGGTGGCCCCGGCCACGGGGGGGTGGCCCCGGCCACGGGGGGGGGCCCCGGCCACGGGGGGGGTGGCGGGTGGACTGCTTGTGGGGTGGTTCCCGCGGGAACCCGGGTACCCCGGAGGCGGCCCCCTGCCCTCGCGCGGGGGGGCCGCCGATGGGGCCCGCCCTCCCGCGGTCCGCCGCGCGCCCGACCCCTCCCCGCCCCCTCCCGGTCGTCGTCGTCGTCGTCGTCGTCGTCGTCGCCGCCGCCGCCGTCGTCGCCGTCGCCGTCGCCGTCGCCGTCGCGCGCGGCGCCCGCCAGGAGGAGGAGGAGGAGGAGGAGGAGGCGGAGGAGGAGGAGGCGGAGGAGGAGGAAGGACGGAGGAGGAGGAGGAGGAGGAGGAGGAGGAGGAGGAGGAGGAGGAGGAGGAGGAGGAGGAGGAGGAGGAGGAGGAGGAGGAGGTGGAGGAGGAGTAAGAGGAGGAGGGGAGGAGGAGGAGGAGGAGGAGGAGGAGGAGGAGGAGGAGGAGGAGGAGGAGGAGGAGGAGGAGGAGGAGGAGGAGGAGGAGGAGGAGGAGGAGGAAGGGAGGAGGAGGAGGTAGGACGGAGGAGGAAGCGGAGGAGGAGGAGGAAGAAAAAGGAGGGAGGAGGCGGAGGAGGAGGAAAAGGACCCCGAGGGTCTTCGAGGGTTCCGCGGGTTTCCAAGGGGTCCGAGGGTGGTGTCCAAGGATTTGCCTGGGGGGCCGGTTCGGTTCCAGCCGGTTCGGTTTGGGCGTCCGGGCCGGTTTCGCCTCGCCAGTTCGGTTCGACGCGGCCGGTCCGGTTCTGACCGGTTCGGTTTGGAGTCCGGTTCGCGCGGTTCGGTTCGTTCGGCCGCCGGTTCACGGTTACCAGTTCGGTTCAGACCCTTCCTGTAGAAAGGGAGTGCCTAGGATGGAGCGAGTTTGCATGTAAAGTAAACGATGCGACAGAAACGTATGTGAAATGCACGATATCAGAGGGGACCGATACTTCGGGGGGTATAGTCTATGATGCGACGAGGTGGCGGCGAGGCGGCGACAGCGACCACTGAGCGACCAGACCGGCAGCCATGCCTGGACGACGGGCGGCGACGAGTCGGCGACGAGACGGCGACGGCGACCACGGAGCCCAAAGACCGGCAGCCAGGCCCAGACCAAAGGCTGCAACGAGGCGGTGGCGGGGCGGCGACGGCGACCACAGAACCGCCAGACTGGCAGCGAGGCCAAGTTCTTTTGAGAGCAAGAGGTAAGGATCCCCAAGTGCAAACATTTGTCTAACACCACGTGGACGTGGACCACATAGCTTGCACCACCTAGGCTCCGCCAGACAACGTGCACAATGTAGCTTGCGCAACGTAGGTTTACACCGCAAAGGTAAGGGCGTTCGCTAAGGAATGTATCCAAATGGCTTCGGACCCTCGATGGTTCCTTGTTTGATGAGGGCGGCTGAAATATCCAAGGTCAAGCCTCAATTGGCATTCCACCGGCTTCCAGACACTGGATTCGTTGTCCAATGGTTCCTTTTCCTATACCCTCACCGTCGCTGACACCTCACAGCTTGCACCGCAGATATTGTACCACGCAGTTTGCACCACATCGCTTGCACCACATCGCTCATGCATCTGGTGTGCAGTACCTGGCTCTTTGGGGTCCACGCCGGTAAACCTTCTACCCATACGCGCTGGCCGAAGGTTCGACTCATCTGAATCAACTTGGAAATGCCACGGTCGGCGTTTTGGGGAACAGCGCCACTTGGGGCCAGATCCAGGGCCCCGCAGGGGCCCAACCCTCGTGCCGCTCCGAGCACCGCCAACGCCGAGAACTTCTGCCCGCGAGCGCGCACTGCCTGGGAGACCGATGCCCCAGGATACCCAGGAGGCAGAGGATACGAATCTCGAAGAAGAGACAACCACATCAACATAAGCTTTTGGCGCTCCGTGCGGGTTTCTTGGATCCGCGCCTGGGCCCTCTGGCGGCGCATCCGGCGCCGCCCCTGGCGCGCTCCGCGCGCCAGGGAGGGGGTCCAGCGCGAGTCCAAGACATCCGCAAGGAGCGCCAGAAACTCATGTTTATGTGGCCTTCTCTTCTTCCATCATAGAAAGGGTGTCAGGTCTGGGCGTGGGCGTGTGTACTCCAGCCTCGGGAAAGGTGGTGCCCTACGGCGTGCTGGGCACCCAGCTCCGACGAGACAGGTCGGTGGTGGCGGTGGCCTGCGCTCCAGATCAGCTGACGGCCGTGCTCGACTCCGCGGGGCACCACGTGGTTAAGGCCGGCGGGCCGAAGGCGGCGGCCGGCGCGGCCAGGGCGACGTACAAGTGGGCGGGCATCGATGCCGACGACGCGTACGCCGCAGACGTGGTGGCCGCCGTGCGCCGCGCGGGCACCGCGAAGCACTACAGCTACGCCGGGCGGCAGGTCATCCACGTCTTCGGGCCCGACCTGCGCGGCCTCGAGGCCGGGCACGCGGCCGAGGCTCAGGAAGGGAAAAAAGCACACAGACAGAATTCATCGTCGATTCCCCCGAAGATATGGGAAAGTAGGGGGAGTCGGGGCGAAGACAGGGATCCAGAAGATATGGGAAAATATGGGGAATGCTGTTATCTGTGTCTATTTATTCGTGTGTCCCAGGGCCCCTTCAGAGGCCCTGGAGCAGCTGGCGGGGGCCTACCGCGCCGCGCTGGCCGAGTTCGCCGCCTCGGGGCTGCCTGTGCTGAGGCTGCTGCCGATCTCGGGGGGCATTCTGTCCGGGCCGTTCGGCGGCCGCATGCGGCGGCGCGCCGAGGGGGGGAGGCCTGCTCAGAAGGCCAGGGCGGGACCTAAGCGCTGTTTTGCTGGAATTCGGCTGTGCTTTGTTTTTCGTTTCGGGAGGCAGGTACAGGAAAACAGGTAGAGCAAGACGAACAGCAACACGAAGACAACACAGAAAACGACGTTGAGGTCCAGCCCTGCAGAAGACGGGGGGGGGCTTCTCAGAAGCTCTTTGGTCTTCTGAGAAGGTCGAGTGATGCTGCTGTGGAGCCTGCATTCCCAAAGAATCATTGCTGTTGAACCCCCGCCTTCCGTTGCACCTTGTGCGTTTTTCTATAAGAATAAGTGCTCCTCCCGGGGTTCGCAGCGTTTTTTTTTACAAGGGGGAGTATTGGAGCTCATGCTGGCCCCCTGTCCCCCCCCAGTTTACATTAACAACAGCTCCCGTCTGATACCCCTTCGAATGTTATGCGAAATCGCTCTTTCGTGTAGCATTTATTTTCAATTTTCAAATTATTGAGACGCGGCGCTCCCAGCATTCAGGGATCACACTCTCGCAGTTGACTTTCTCCCGATTCATTTGGGAATCGCGCGATCGCAAAGGCTTCCTCGCGATCCGCGCAAAGCTGACGCTTCAGCGACCCGCCCGCTCGACACAGCCGTCTGGGCCCGCCCGCCCGACCCGCCCGTTGAGGCCCGCCCGCCCGACGCGCCCGTGAAGTTCTGCCGCGTGTTCTCATGCATCTGATCCCCCTCTCCTGCCAGTCTCTCTCGTGCTGCATCATTCTCCATCCCGTTGTCACTTCCCTCCTCCCGCCCGAAGAAGATCGAAGACGGAGAGGGCGGGTAACAAGGGCTTGGGATATACGTCTTGAGTGGCACGCGAGCTGCCACGAGCGAACAATCCTGAAATGATTATTGTCATTGTTGTTGTGGCTGTTGTTGTTCTTGTTGTTGTCGTTGTTGTTGTCGTTGTTGATGTTGGACACCAATAAACAGTTGTCATTGCTGGACCCCCTATATCCTCCCTGGCGCTATCGCCTCGGCGCCAGCTGCAGGTTCGTTGATCTTAAAACTCACGCTCAAGCGTTTCGGGGTTGCGGCCAAACCTCCGCCGCCAAAAACAAGGCTCCCGTGTTATGCTCCTCACGATTTATTCCGAGAGGCCCTGGCAGGCGAGGGCCCGAACTTCAGGAAGGGCACTCCCGCCGAAGACCTCCTCGCAATTTGCTCCACGGGGGGGTCCTTCAGACCAGTCTTGCCGCTACTTGCTGATGCAGGAACGGCCGTCTCGCCAGATACCTTCAGGTACCTCCCACGTGCCTGTCCTAGGCTGCCCGCGGGTACCTCCCAAGTGCCTTTCATAAGCGCCCTTGTCTTTCACAGGCCCCGAGAGATCCCCGGAGGGATTGCTCTGTATTGGGCTCTGTGTTCGGGGAGCGCTCCTCGTCCCCCGCGCAGGCCTCGCACCCCCGCGTAGGCTTCGCCCCCGCAGGCCTCGCCGCCTCCTGGGGCTCGAACCGTTTTTTTGTGCTTTCGAAGTCTGCACCTATAGAGTGCTCATCGACTGGAGCTCGATTCCTTTGTGTGCTGCGTTTGTTCCTACAAATTGCCCTTCGGCTGCGTCCCGAGCCCTTGTTGCTTCACGTATGCTCATGTATATTGCCCCTCAGCTGGGGCTCGAATCCCCTGGTGTTGCACGTGTTCTCCAGTGGATTTCCCCGATCCTGGGGCTCGAACCCTCCGTGTTCGGACTCCTTCCCGCTCTCCAGACGTCGCACTGATTTGCATGCGCCGTGCGATCTGAAGGTGGGAAGGTGCCTCGAGAGAAGTGTTGGCTGGACCTCCTTGGGCGGGATATTTGGGTGTGGGTATACCGCCCCCTTTTTCAGACAGGTCTCCCTAGAGGGAGAAGGCATCACCACGGATGCATGCGGCATGCGGAAGCACGGCATGTGAGGGTACCATGATTGTTTCGGTCTTCAGAAACATCCACGCCTTCTGAGAAGGCCCCTGCGGCCCTGGAATCGACCCAGGAAGCTTCTCCGATGGCTGGAGGCCATGTTTGAGCCTTCTGAAAAGGCCCACCCCCTACGCATCCCCCTGGGCACGCCGCCGGCGCATGCCCGGGCTGACCGCCTGTGCGCTGAAGTGTGGGTTTGCGCGGCTCACTGCAGAGCAGAAGGTGGCCGTGCTCGGGCGGCAGGTCGAGCTCTGCATTTTCTTGGAGGCCGAAATCGAGGATTTCCAGGGCGCGCTGAAGGAGTGCTGAAGCGGCAAGCAAGCAGGCCCCGAGACGTGCGGTGCGGCCTAAAGTCGATCGGTCTCACAGCCGTACCGCCGCGGAGTTCACCGTTGCCCTGGCACTCTTGTCCGATTAGGAATGGTTGATACCTGCTGCCTCGAAGGGCATGGACAGAAGCAGTTCAGGCTGGGTGTATCTCTGGCGAGCATTTTCCAGGCAGACAGCATCTATATGCTTCGCGCTTCGCTCTTTATCGGCTGTCTTCAGAGAGGTGAGTAGTATCAGCCTGCGCGTTTTTCAGACATGTCATGTTCACTGACATGAGGGCCACATTGGACGAGACAGTCGTTGTTACAAGTCTCATCCCACACATATCATCTGCAGGTTGCCGCTTCATGTCGAGTGATACAGCGTTGTTTGGGCAGTCGGGGTTCTGCGTTTGGTCTTCGGTTACTGCTGTAAGCTGAAGCGCCGACCCTTCCCTGCTTCTACACATGCATCCTCGACTTTTGCATGTTCCCCTGCCCTTACCTCTACCCTTCCTCTTCCCGACCCCTTTCTTCACACCCTTGCCACGACCCGTTACCCTGATCATTCTCTCTCCGCCCCTACACTCGCATGCCCGACCTTTGCACGTTCCCCTGCCCTTACCTCTAGCCTTCTTCTTCCCGACCCCGTTCTCCACACCCTTGCCACGACCCGTTCGTTGCCCTGATCCTTTCCTCTCCGCCCCTACACGCGCATCCTCGACCTTCGCACGCTCCCCTGCCCTTACCTCTGCCCTTCCTTCTGGCCCCGCCCCGGGCGCGCTCCGCGCGCCAGGGAGGGGCCCAGCGCCGATCCGAGAAATCCGCGCGGGCCTCCGAGTTTCTATGCTTATGTAATGGTCCGTTCCCCTGCCCTCCGCTGTGCGCGCTGCTGGCCCTCTCCCAGGGGCGCGGCCGGCTTCCGCGCGCGACGCCCCCCTGCGGGGCCGCGGGCGCCTGCCTCACCTGGCGGCGCGCCAAGGCGGACGACAGCTCCCGTATATACGGCCGATCGAGGGGGGCAGATCACGCCGGGGGCGGCCAAGAGGGGGGTGATGCCTAGGGTCAAGTCGGGCATGCCCCTCTACAGGAGGAATAGTCAGGAATAGTCAAAAGATAGTCAGGGGGCTATTTTTCGAATTTCTATTACAATGTTTGAACGCTTTTGGACTATACTTTATTTTTCGTCCAAAATCCGCCTGTGGGGACACGCCCGACCTAAGCCAAGAGGGGGGTGATGACTAGGGGGGGATATCATGGCGGGGGGCCTTGATACCTCCCCCGATTCTATGGCGCCTCTTCTTATTACAATGCGTCCCCGGCCCCACTCTGGGCCGCGCACATGCCGCCGACCATGATTTGCGCACCCCCCTCTTGGACGCCCCCCTCTTGGACGCCCCCGACCATGGCGTACCCGTCGGTCGTTGAAAGCAAATCTGTTTGGATGCCCGATTCCCAATCTACCAGTCATCTTCCTGCTTCAAGAGTCGAATGTTCTTTCCTATTCCCTCCTTTTTTTCAGGGGGCGGGCGGAAGCCCAATGTACTTTCAAGGCCTCCCTACTTCATGCTTCTACCCACTTCTTCCCACCGACGGGTAAACTTTCTGAGGTCCGTTTGGATTTCTTGGATCGGCGCCTGAGGTGATTAGCCATTCATCGGCGCAAGGCATGGCGTGTCCCCCCGGGGCCGCCGCAACAAGCTACGCTAAAGTACTTGACCGTCTATTGGTGCAGCTTGTTCTTCTCATATTTCTAGGCCTCCCAGATGGGGTCGGAGTAGATGGGGTCGAAGGATCGCGCCGCATCGGCGATCCGGCTCGATGCGGAGCCCGACTTTCGCCACGCCGACGGCGCCAATGCATCGCCGACATCGCTGGAGCATCGCCGATGCATCGCCGATGCATCGCCGATGCGGCGCGATCCTTCGACCCCATCTACTCCGACCCCATCTGGGATGCTCGGGTCGGCGTTTTGTGAAGCGCGCCGCTTCCGGGTCGGCGTTTTTGAAAGGGAGCGCGCTGTTCCCGGGCAGGCCCGCCGCCAGGGAGGGACCAAAAGCCATCGCTGCTCCCGCCTGCGAGCGCCGTCGCCGTCGAAGGCATATCGGCGTCACACCGACATACTAACACCACACAGCCGTGACACAAGTGTTCAATTTGCCATGATGATGATGATATCTTCTATCCCTCTAAAGATTCTTAAAACGACATGATGACTGCGTCATTCGGCGGAGCAGTTAGCGATCCGCTTAATGCTTATAGCTCTGTTACCCCAGAACCCGGCAACTACTCCGCGCCAAACCCTTTGAATTACCAAGCGGGACGCGCCCGCGCGCGGAGTAGTTGGAGCATCTCTATTCCGAACTACTCCGCGCAGATGCGCTATTGGCGAAGGCAGATCGAAAAAACTTGTGTCACGATGATGTATGTGTGCGTCGCCCCCCCCCCCAGGGGCGACGCGCGCGCCGAGGAATCTTCTAGTATACGCTCCGCCGCGGGCTCTTTCTGGTCGTACCGCTCGGGGAACGATACGCTATGATACGGTTGTACTGTATGATCTGGTCGGACGCACGCCTTCAAGAAGGACGCGGAGTACTAGTATGTCCTCGTGCGTCCCAGTATACCATTGTTTCCCCGCGCGCGCGTGTCCAACTCGACAGCGCGGCAGCCGCACGGGGCCAGGCCGGAGACGGTCTGACGCACCCCTCTCGGGCTTCATGGGCAAAAAGTAGGGCGGCGGCGGCGGGGGGGGGATAGGCAGGCACAGGGGAGGAAGCATCGATACCCAATCGCCCATGCACCGCCTGTTTTTCCCCTTTTTGGGCCTCGGAGGCCCTCGTCGCCACCGCTGCATTCGCTTCGAAATCCTTGCCAGAACCACCCCAGGAGAGGTCCTGGGAGTAGCGGTATCGGTACCATTTGGTTTCCCCAGGTAGTTGCCCGATAGCCCCTCCCCGCCAAGGACGGTGCGGATTCGCTGTCCGTGATCTATCACTGATCTATCGTCGATGTATCGTCGTATCAGTTGGATGCTACTTCCCCCGAATGTGTTTTTCCTGACGTCCCCCGCGGAACATCCTCGAGTCTGCCTCGACAGCACGGCAGCCGCGCGGAGCCGGCTGGAGGCCCAGATATCTTCTGGCATGAGTTTTCCTGGTGCGACTCGGAGGACGCGTAATGGGAGCGGGCGAAATGTGGGGGGCAGCGAGGGCTGCCGAAAAGGGCTCCTCTCTTCCCGCCCACGTATCGCCCCCATTACGGCATGAGTTTTTCATCTGAGTCATCGCCCCCCCATTTGTCGCCCCCATCTGTCGCCCCCCCCGCATTTATCGCCCTCCCAGTAATTCCCCTCACATTTATTCCCCCCGCTTATCGCCCCTACTTTTCACCTCCCGCATTTACCGCCCCCCACTTATTCCCCCCATGATTTCCTCCCTTCATCGCCCCCCATGAATTCGCGCCCAAATTCCGGCCCCGATTTTTTTCCGTCTGCGAATCCCCAGAGGCAGGCCAGGGGCGAAGGAACTCCCCTGGCGTGCGTGTGGGCCCACCAGGAATATGGAGGGGAAAGAACACACGGACACAAATCATCGTCGACCCCCAAAAAATGATAAAACATGAGAGCTGGGAGGGAAGACAAAGCCCAGAACATACAAGTGGCACGCGTGCCATGGCTCTTGCACATCATAGAAAGGGGGAGTAGGAGGTGGAGGAGGAGGTGGAGGAGGAGGAGGTGGTGGAGGAGGGGGAGGGGAAATGGAGGACGAGAAAGAGGAGGGGGAGGAGGAAGAGGTTGAGGATAATGAGATGCTAAGGGCGGGGGAAGCGAATGACGACTGAGAGAATTGAGGACACGGGAGGACGAGGACGATGAGAGAGAGACCGGGGGAGGGAGGAGGAAGAGGAGGGAGGAGGGCGAGGAGGAAAGGGGAGCGACGGGAGCAGGAAACGGAGTCAGTAGACCAGGAGGGGAAATAGGGGGAGAGAGCAGCATTCACATATGCGAAGATGCCGAACTGGGCTCTGCAGAGCGGGGCGGGGGAGCGCGCTGGCTGACGGGCGAGGAGGAGCTGCGCTGGCCGCGGGGGGGGGGAAGCGGCGCGGCGCCTGTGCTGTGCCGGAATGGAAAGAACGGTCGGGCGCAGGAAGCGCGCTGGCTGGCGGGCGAGGAGGAGCTGGGCTGGCCGCGGGGGGGGCGGGGGGGAGGGGGCAAGGGCGCGGCGCCACTGCTGTGCCGAAGTACAGCGGTCGGGGCGGAGGGGGCGCCTTGGCTGGTGGGCGAAGAGGGGTTTGCCTAAATAGCCGCGTGGGGGGGGAGGGGAGGGCGCGACGCCGCTGGCGTGACGAAATAAAAAGGTCGTGGCGGAGGGGCGCGCTGGCTGGCGGGCAAGCAGGATCTGGGCTGGCCGCGGGGGCGCAAGGGGGGTGCGCGGCACTGGCACCGCGCCGAAATACGAGATAAAAGGGTCGGGCGGAGGGGGCGCGTTGGCTAGTGGGCTAGAAAGGATCTGGGATAGCCGTGGGGGGGGCAAGTGGCGCAGTGCTCGTGCCGTGCTGTAATATGATGGTGGGGGCGCAAGGGGGGGCGCGGGCCTGCGAGGAGGACGTGGGCCGGGGTGGAGGGGGCGCGTTCGCTGACGGAGGAGGAGGAGTGAAGGTTGGCTGGCTGCGGGGGGAGGAGGGGGGGCACCGTGCTGGTGCAGTGCCAAAGGAAGGAGGTCGGGGCGGAGGCGGCGCTGGCTGGCGGTAGAGGAGGAGGTGGGCTGTCCGCGGTGGGGGGGGGAGGCGGGCACGGCGCCAATGGTGTGCCGAAAAAAAAAATCTCGGCGGAGGGGGCGCGTTGCGGGGGAGGAAAAAGTGGGCTGGCCGCGGAGGGGAGGGGGGGGAGGGCGCGGTGTTGGTGCCGTGCCGAAGTGCAACGGTCGGGGCGGAGGGGGTGCGCGGGCTGGTGGGGGAGAGGAGGTGGGCTGGTTGCGGAGATGGGGAGGTGGGCGGACGCGGCGCCAAGGCCGTGCAAGGGCATGTTGGCTGGCGGGGGGGAAGGTGGGCTGGCTGTTACGGAAGGGGGGCGGAAGGGGGACTGGCGACGTGCTGAAAAAAATTGCCGGGGCTGAGAAGGCTCGCTGGCGGCTGCGGAGGAGGGCGCGCTGCCTGGTGGGGGAGGAGAGGGACGGGCGAGGGTAAGGCGCCAGTGCCGTGCCGAAATAAAGCGGTCCAGGCGAAGGGGGCGCGCTGGCAATGGCCGCGGAGGGGTGAGGGGGGCGGGCGCGGCGCTTGTGCCGTTCAGGAACGAAGGGGTCGGGGCGGAGGTGGCGCGTTGGCTGGCGAGGGAGGGAGAGGTGGGCTAGGTGCAGATGGAGGCCGGGCGGGCGCCGTGCCGAAAAACACGGGTCAGGGCGGAGGGGGCGCGCTGGCGGCTGCGGACATTGGTGGAGGAGCGACCGGTGCCGTGCTGAAATATAGAGGTCGGAGCTCTAGACACAAGGGAATAACGGTCGGGGCGGAGGGGGCGCAGAGTTGGGGGGGGACTGGTGCCATGCCGAGATGCAAGGCTGCGCGGGGGGTGCGGGGGAGGGAGCGGTGCCGTGCCGAAATCAAGCTGTCTGGGCGGAGAGGGTGCGCTGGCTATGGCTGGTGGGGGAGGGGGGGGGACGGCGCCGTGCGGGAATGAAACGGTCGGGGCGGAGGGGGCGCGCTGGCTGGTGGGACCGATGCCGTGCCGAAATGCAGCGGTAGGAGAGGAGGGCCCGCGCTGGGGTCGAGGCGGAGAGGCTGGCTGCGCGGCGGGCGGGGGGGGCGCGTTGCCGTGCCGAAGTAGTGGTCGGAACGGATGGGGCGCGCTGGCTGGTCGGACCGGCGCCGTGCCGAAATAAAGCGGCCGGGCCGGAGCGGGCGCGTTGGATGGTGGATGCAGAGGTCGGGGCGGAGGGGGCGCGCTGGCTGGTGGGGGGGGGGGGCCGTGCCGAAATAAAGCGGTCGGGGCGGAGGCGGCGCGTTGGCTGGAGGGACCGGTGCCGTGCAGAAATAATGCGGTCGGGGCGGAGGGCGGCGCCGTGCCGAAATCAAGTTGTCGGGGCTGAAGGAATGCGCTGGCTGGCGCGGGAGGGGCGGCGGTGCCGTGCCGAAAAGAAGACGGTCGGGGCGGAGGGGGCGCAGAGTGGGGGGACCCGCACCGTGCAGAAATAACAAATCAAAGCGGAGGGGCTGGCTGCGCGGGAGGTGCGGGTGGTGGTGGTGGTGCCGTGCCGAAATAAAGCGGTCGGGGAGGAGGGAGCGCTTTGGTTGGTGGGACCGGTGCCGTGCCGGAAAAAAACAGTCGTATTGGAGGGGGCGCGCTGGCTGGCGGGACCGGTGCCGTGCCGAAATACAGCGGTCAGGGCGAAGAGGGCGCGCTGAGGTCGAAGCGGACGGGCTGGCTGCGCGGAGGTCGCGGGGGGGGGCGCCGTGCCTGAATAAAGAAATCGGGGCGGAGGGAACGCGCTGGCTGGTGGGGGAGGGGGGGCGGCGCCGTGCCGAAATAACTCGGTCGGGGCGGAGGGGGCGCAGGGTGGGGGAGACCGGTGCCGTGCCGAAATACAAGGGTCGAGGCTGAGGGGCTGGCTGCGCGGGTGGTGCGGGGAGGGGGGCGGTGCCGTGCCGAATAAAGAAGTCGGGGCGGAGGGGGCCCGCTAGCTGGTGGGGGGGCGGTGCCTGTGCCGAAATGAAGCGGTCAGGGCGGAGGGGTCGCGCTGGCTGGTGGCGTGCCGAACCAAACCGGTCGGGGCGGAGGGGGCGCGCTGGCTGGTGGGGCCAGTGCCGTGCGGTCGGAGCGGAGGGGGCGCGCTGGGGTAGCGGCGGAGGGTTTGGCTGCGCGGAGGGTGCGTGGGGGGGAGCGGTGCCGTGCCGAGATTAAGAAGTAGGGGGCGAGCTGGCTGGTGGGGGAGGGGGGCGGTGATGTGCCGAAATAAAGAGGTCGGGGTGGAGGGGGCGCGGTGGCTGGTCGGACCAGTGCGGTGCCGAAATAAAGCGGCCGGGGCGGAGCGGGCGCGCTGGCTGTTGGATCAAGAAGTTGGGGCGGAGGGGGTGCACTGGTCGGTGGGGGAGGGGGGGCGGTGCCGTGCCTAATAAAGAAGTCGGGGCGGAGGGGGCGCGTTGGCTTGTGGGACCGGTGCCGTGCCGAAATAAAGCGGTCGGGGCAGAGGGGGCGCGCTGGGGTCGAGACGGAGGGGCTGGCTGCGCGTGGGGTGCGGGGGGGGCGGTGCCGTGCCGAATAAAGAAGTCGGGGCGGAGGGTGCGCGTTGGCTGGTGGGGGAAAGGGACCAGCGCGGTGCCGAAATGCAGCGGTCCGGGCGTAGGGGGCTCGCTGGCTGGTGGGACCGTTGCCGTGCCGAATAAATAAGTCGGGGCGCAGGGCCCGCGCTGGGGTCGAGGCGGAGGGGCTGGCTGTGCGGGGATTGCGGGGGGAGGGACGGTGCCGTACCGAATAAAGAAGTCGGGGCGGAGGGGGCGCGATGGCTGGTGGGCTGGCTAAGCTGGCTGGTGGGGGAGGGGCGCTGGCTGGTGGGACCGGTGCCGTGCCGAAATAAAGCGGTCGGGTGGTGCCGTGCCGAAATAAAGCGATCGGGGCGGAGCGGGCGCGCTGGCGCCTTGCCGAAATAAAGCGGTCGGGGCGGAGGAGGCGCGCTGGCTGGTGGGACCGGCCGGTGCCGTGCCGAAATAAAGCGATCGGGGCGGAGGGGGCGCGCTGGCTGGTGGGACCAGTGCCGAGGGGACGCGCTGGCTGGCGGGTTGGCTGCGCGGGGGGCGGGGATGGGATGTGGAGGGCCGAGAGGCTGCTTCGGCATGGCTGCTTTAGAATGTGGATGCGGAGGGGCGTAGGGCGTAGGGGCTGCATCGATTGGTGCCGTGCTGAAAGAAAGTCATCGGAGCTCTTAGACACCGTAAGAGAAAGAGAACATGTAAGGAGTCCTGGTGTGTGTGTGTGTGTGTGTCAATTTCTGTGTTTGTCTCTGGGCCCCTGTAAAATAATTGTTTCAGAGCCTTGTCTTTTCTGCACGACATGCCAGAACATTGCTGGCCCAGGCCGTCCTTGCCTCAAGAAAAACATTGCTTAGGTATTCGAGATTTCTGTCGTTCCAAGAGCATGTCGTGATATGCCTACAGGAACGCCGGGACGTATGGCCCCTGCTCAACAGAGTTCGCGACCTCTCTCTCGTTGGTAGCGTCTTCGGCTCGGATTCTCTGCCGATGGTCCTGGTGCCCGAGAGTGGCCCCCAGAAGCCGAAATCGACGGAGATCGCCCGGGTTGAAACATCCCACCGTCCGAGGTCTTCAGTGGGTGATCGTTTTTTTATTCATTATTTTGCCGATTGGCGCAGGTCCTCGCCCCCCCCCCCTCCCCCCCCCTTGGAGTGGATCTTGGTTGTTTTTGGCGCCTGTGTCAAGCAGGTGGAGATCTCCCATAGGACGCACTGCTGCAAAAAGTCGCATTCAGCAGAGGTCCGGGGCCAGACACCCCCCCCCTTCTTCTGCCCAAATTCGAAACGCCGAAGGAGAAAACGTTCACAAGCTGGAGGCGCACCCCCTCGGGACGCTTCTCCAGGGCTCCTCAGAAGGGGGTCCGCGCCCAAGGAGGGCGGCGGCCACGGCGCGCGCGCGCGGCCATGCCCTCCGCGACGGTCGGCCTCTACACCAACTACATTCAGGAGAAGGTGCCTGGCTTGTTTCTCCTCCGCGCGCGCGCGCGCGTGTGTGTGTGTGTGTGTGTGTGTGTGTGTGTGTGTGTGTGTGTGTGTGTCTGTGTGTGTGTGTGTCTGTGTATCTGTGTGTCTGTCTCCCTAATTAAAGCTGTGCGTAGCCCGCCTAGCTTTTAGCGGAAGAGGTTCGCTCTCGCCCCGCCGACCAAAAATCTGTGTCTGTGTGTCTGTGTGTCTGTGTGTGTTTGTTTGCCTTCCGCCGCTGGGCGCCCCCTCCTTCCTCCTCCGCGGCCGCCCTGTCCGTCGTTTCCCTCGCCCTGCATGCTGGGCAATTTGCTTCTCGGTGCCCCCGTTTAGCCTGATCGCTGGTGCAGCCATTCTGCCTCGCCGCCGACAGAAAACGTCAGTGAATGTGTGTTTGTGTGTGTGAATGTCATGCCTGGTCCCCTAATGGGCGGACCAGGCATTCCCCTGCTGCCTCTGGGCTGGCACGCGCCCGTTTTCTGGTTTCGGCGTTGGCCGGACTCCGCTACGCTGCTGCATGCGTGGCCGCGCCGCCAAAAGGCGCGTGTACGTCTAAGCACCCCTGCATGTTTGCACGCGTCAGGCTTCGCCGTCCACCCACGAAGTTGGGTGTGTTCCCTGCGTGCTGACTTGCCTTGCGCTTCCCGCTACCTGCAGCTTTGGTGGCCTTCACGATAACTCGTGTCCCGTGCTACCACTCGCTGCGGTGACGTCACATGGCCGGCGGAGGCAAACGTGTAGGCTGCAGGCTTGCACTCGAGGGCGTTCTCCAACACCTGTGCCGATCATGAACAGGTCGCGGACACGGTCTGTCCAGAGATTCGGTGTGCTTCTCTTCGCTCACGTCCCTCCTGTGGCGCGCTGGCTTCTCCAGGGTCGGGTCATCGTGCGTGCCTCCGGGATGGGGAGGCGGTATCAACGACATGCTTCCGTTGGTCAAGCATTGGCGACGCGTCTTGTCTCGCCTATAGGCCCACCAGAGAATGTTCTAAGAACCTTTTGTACTCTGCACGAAATGTTCTTATAATCTTTATGGTTGAGATTGGCTTGTGTAAACACATCGGGCTAATGTTCTAAAAACGTTGTGTTTGTTATTAGAGCATCTGGGATTCTAGAAGGATTTCGTGGCAGGCCTATACGATTGCCGGGACGGGTCGGTCCCTGCTCAAGCTGGGAGCCAGTCAGAGTGTTATTGCTTTGCCTGCACCTGCTCACCTGCACGCTCCGCCCGGCGGGTGGATGAGTCAGAGGCAGGCCCGGCAGGTGAATCCCATCTTCGAGAGCATGGTCGCCGCCGTGCTTCTGCAGCAGCCCCAGGACGCAGCGATAAGAATAAGGCTTGAGGAGGAGGAAGGGGAAGGGGGGGGTCGAGGTTCGTCCCTAGCCAGTTTGGCTCAAGCTACTGCCCGAGGATACCCTTTCGACGTGGGTCTGGAGGGTTTCCTGGTGAGGGCTCAAGTTGCCCTGGTCGCGGGCATGCCCTGGCCGCGCGCCAGGGAGGGGGGTCAAGCGCGGATCCGAGGAATCTGCGCGGATCTCCGAACTTTGATGTTTATGTCATTTTTCGTTCCCCTACTCGTTGCCCCGCCCCGTTGCCCCTCTTCGTTTGCTGGTGATTTATCTGGGTGCTCCTGGAACGCCCAAGCTGTTTTCTCCAGGAAGCTGTGCCAGCAGCGCCGCTGGCCTACCTTTGTCGAGTTATCGTCTGAAGAAGTAGTTGTCGTGAGGTTGCAACAGGTTCATGGCACTGCAGGTCGTGAACTCGCGCTTGACGCACTTCCCGGCACCTGTGCTTCTCGGCCCCATGTTAGCCGGTCTTCGGCGTGGATTGCTATTTTCGTTGTTGACGCGTTCCTGTCCCTCTTTGACTCACATACGTTCCAAGTGGTAGAAGACGGCAGTACAGCCGTTCTTCGTCTTAGTGGGCGCCTTGGCAGACTGAACGTGCGGACAGTTTATCTTGGCGCCCACTCGCCAGCTGCGCGCGCCCGCACTTGAGAGCAGATTGATGGCCATTCTTTCGGATCCCCAGAAGCTCAAGACAGTCACGTCTGTGAATTCTGGTGGCGTTAGTTTCGCTGAGAGCGGGCACGGCCGTTGGCAAAAACAAGTTGGGCGCCGGTCGAGGCACACGAAGCACATCGAGACAGCCGCAGTTCAGGCTCACCTACGCAGCACATCTTGTCTGGAGGAGCGGTTGCAAGAACGACTGATTTTCGATAGTGGCACTGCACTGCCTCGCATCGATCGTGTAAGTCTACATATATGTATATACATATCCCGCCGCGCCGACGATCGGCTTCACGTCTTGGGAAGGGCGTCTCGGCCACCAGGGCAAACGCCGCCTCGGGCGCAGGGCTTGCTGCGGGTTTGCTGTGGCCTTGCCGTGGTGTCGGCGCCGTCCATTCTGGCGCGTCGAGAACAAACGGCGCGGCGACATATTGCAATCATACACGTGAGAAGCTGGATCGACATATCGAGTGCTGCGTGCTCCCCTCTCCCTGTCTCTTGTCCGCTTGCAAGCCGCTGCCCGCTGCCAGGCGTAGTAGGGCTCGGGCTTCCGAGATGGGCACCGTGAGACCACTCCTGGCCATTTTTCGGAGGAGGAAGAGGTACCGATACTGCTGCCCTTGCCCCGTTTTCCCTTCTGTGGGCCTACTGGGAGGCCCTCGTCACCACTGCTGGATTTGCCTCGAAATTCTGATCACAAAGCATCCCGGGAGTTGTCTGGGGCGTAGTGGTATCGGTACCTTGTGGTTTCCCCAACTTTAGTTGGCCAGCCTAATTTCGGTAGGCTCGTGCAGCAGGAATGCGACAGAAAGGCAAGCCTCAACACGCATGCGCCAGCGCTAGACAAACTCTGTTTTCTTAAACTGGCCATGCTCCGCGCATGCTAAGTCATAGGGCGTTCCAGCGTTACCCATGTGGCTACCAGTGCGGAAAGCAAACTTCATGCTTCTATGGGCCTTCTCCGGTGCCTCGAAAATGGTAGGGCTGACCGCGTGATTAGTTTTATGATGTGTATCCGCATTTGCATTCCCTCGTTGGCTCCCCTCCTATTCTCACCCTTGCAGTGCGCGACCAATGCGTGAAGCTGGCGAGGCAGGAGCTTGTTGAGAAAGTGGATTCCCTCAAGGTCAAACGGGGATAAGTGACTCGACTTTGAAGTCGAATCCCGCAGAGAGCACATTCTGCGAACATTCCAGACGCCCATCTCTGGCGAGTGCCTGGAACTGGCGAATTCGCGACGCAACCCAGTGAAGTAGCGTCATCATTGGAGCAGCACTGTGGCGGCGTGTTCTGCAGGAGCCCCGTTGATTTAGCCAGGGCGCTGAATTTGGACGTCCGCGGAATTTGGACGCCTATAGTTTTGCCTTTTTTTCCCAGGCGGGGTTGCCTGCTGAGCATCGTAAGTGGCGGTTGCGTTTTTTCCACGTTGTCGAGGCTATACGGACCCCTGGCGATTCCTCCCCTGGCCCCGACGGCATCCCGTACTGGGCGTCGAGGAAGCGCGAAGAATGTGTTGCCCCGATTCTGTACGACGCAGCCCTGTCGATGCAGGAGGGCTCCATGATCACAGTTTTTGTTGCTGCCTTCCGAAGAAGCCGGCGCACCCCGCCTTCGGCGAGTTCTATCCAGCTGCCGAGGCGAGCTCCTTGACTCTCGTATCGGTGGTTCCAAGATGGTGTCTTTAGGGATTGGGTTCCAAGGATCGGAATGGATCCAAGCGTGGATTTACATTTTTTGAGGCACCTCGTCCTTCGGACCCCATCCCTCAGGTCCCCATCCGTGCACCCTGTCAAAAGGCTTATGGCAAGTTCGTTCTGACACTTGTTGGGGCCTCTCGCTGGCAGGGTCGTGTCTTCCGTGCAGCGGGCTTTTGCTTGCAGGGCCACTCCTTTATCAGGAAGGCGTGCGAAATTGATCACGCAAGTCTGCTGGCCAGCCGGGAAGAAGAAGATGCGGCCCTCGTCCTGTTCGATCTCGAGGCCGCGTTCCCGACTAATACGTCAGGATCTTACGGTTCGGCCGCCCCGGAGGCCATAGGCCCCCCCCCCTTTGATTTCAAATGTTGTTCGATGCTTGTATATGGGCGGCATGTGTGCGCTTTAATTGAGAACGAAGGTGTTTGAAGGCTTCTCCACGAGCAGCAGCGTATGCCAGGGGTGCCCGCTTTCGCACTTGATCTTCCATCTAGCGACAGATACAAGCGCGCCTTCATGGCTGAGAGGATTTGCCTGCTCGGGGTTGCTCACGTCCTTCGGCTTCCCTCCCAATGCCAGGTGTCTCGGGGGAACGAATCGCGTTGCTACGTTCAACGCTGCCTCTTGCTTGCCAGCGTTCCGGGTCGTCAGAGGCGACCTGTTGGATTTGTTGGTGACCCCTCATGTGCGATAGCATGGGAAGCCCACCCTTAGTGGAACAGCTCGATCCTCAAGGGCCGCATTGACAATTACTATATCTTATGGGAAGAATGAGTCTAACCAGGGTTTGCCTGAGGGGTTTGGCCTGGAGGGTTGGCCGGATCTCCTGGGGTTGGCCCAGAAGGTTGGCCGGGTCCCTCGTCGCACGAATTGATGTGTGACGTTGGTTCTGACAGATGAGGCGTTCGCTTGAGACATGCTCAGAGCAAGAAGCGAGATGCTGCTATGAAAGACAGGGAGAGCTTCTGCCTGAGACATTGCGAGGAAGTCTGACGCGAAAACCAGTGGCTATGGACAGAAACACGAAGCACAGCATAGCACAGAAGCGAGTATCATCGTATTCCACGCCACGGTATGGCATACATGCCATAATGTTGTTTGATGCCAATTCCTTACCAGCTTCGTGGGCTCTTAACTCGTGGGTTTTTCCGTGCCCCTCTGCGGAGCGGCGGTGACGGCTTTGGGTTCTCCTCGCACGCGTGATGGTCAGCGCTACTCCGGGCCCGGCGACCCGCGTCGTGGTTCGGACGGGTCGCCCCAGGGCCACGTCGCCTCCGGCGACGGGGAGGAGGAGGAACACGAGGAAAATATTGCGATGAGGAGGAAGAGGGAGGAGGGGGGAGAAGCGCACGGGGTCCACGCACTTGCATCATACCTCGTGGCATCCACCCTGGCCTCGCCAATGCAGCAGCATGCCCTCTGGCCTCAGCCTCGGCCGCGCGTCGGCCCCCACCTACAAGGGCCAAAACAACAAGGACGGCCAGCGCAGCACGACAAGGCTTTGGATGTCAAGACGTGGCTGAAGGCGCCCAGGATCATGGAGAGATGCGCGCCGCCTGGGTGGACCACTCGGCGCCCGAACGACCAACGGATGTAGAACACTCGACTCGCCGAGCCTGACCAAAGGAAGGATTTCCGAACTCCGCACGCGGACACAAAGATCCAGACGGTACTGGCTGCCGTGGCCTTGACGGCGCAGCGGATGAAAAACCATCCAGAGTCCAGGGTGGCAGCGTGGCTGAGGTCAGGGGTGGTCACGCGGGCGCATTGCGACAAACCGGGCCTCGGCGACCTCGCGGCGCGCGCCAAGTGCGCCATGGGCGCGCCCGAGCACCAGGAGGCGATGAGGGAGTACGCGCAAGGCGTCGGTCTGTGGAGGACGGAGGCCGCTCTCGTCAGCGAACCGGTGCGCGACGGCTTAGACCACGCGGCAGACGGTGGAGAACCTGGAGCCCCGGTCGAGGCGGCCGCAGTGCAGGCCGCGCCGTTGTTGTAGGAGGCCGCGCCCGTCGCGCGGAAGCGGTGGATCGACGGCGACAGTCAGCGCAAGGCGCCCCCTCCGAGGGGAATAGGAGGGAGGATGGAGGGGCGGCCGCGCCCCGCCGCTGCTGGATTGAAGATAGAGGAGCGGCCGGCGCTGGCTCGCAGCCTCGGTTCCACCGGGCCCGGGCCCGGGGCAGTCCGGGGCAGGCTCGACAGCCGCCCGCGGCGTCGCGGGGGTACTCGCAGAGAGGGAGAGGCGGAAGGGAAGCGGAGAGGACGAGGGGAGGGGGCGGCGAGAGAAGGGAGGAGGGAGGGGAAGGGTGAGGAGGAGGCGGAGGAGGAGAACGAGAGGAGGGGCGCCTCGAGGTCCCGCGGCGTGAGATCACATAGGCCCTCGGCAGCAGTCACAAGGCGGTCCGCGGGCCTCTTTCGCCTGGGATATCCTTGCATCTCCGAGTCCCTTTTCATAACGGTTCTCGAAGTGTTCTGGCCCATATCGCGCGAGACATCCTCGAAACTCTGGGCTCCGAGATGCCCGCGTCGCCTAGGACGTCGACGCAACTAGCGCGGGCGTCCAGGAAGAGGGGTGCAGAGAAGGCGGTGAAAGAGAAGGAAGAGGAGGAGCAGGCCCGCTTCGCGTGAACCATGCTCGGAACTGGGCCCCGAGATGCCCTGGCTTGAGGTTATCAGGTTGTCTGGCCCATGTCGGTTGGGATACCCTCGCAACTCCGCCGAAAACCGTCCAGAGGGGGGGAGGAGGAGGAGGAGGAGGAGGAGGAGGAGGAGGAGGAGGAGGAGGAGGAGGAGGAGGAGGAAAAGGCCTGTTTCGCGTGAGACATCCTCGCAACTCTGGGCTCCGGGAATCCGAGCCCATCCGCGACGCCAAAGTCGGCGGCGCCCTCGGCCCTGCGCTCAATCTTGGGCCGCAGGCGCGGCTGCGGCTGCAGGCGGTTCTTCCCGTTCTAGCTCCTCTTCCTCCTCCTCTTCCTCCTCCCGTTTCCCCCTTGCCCCGAGCTCGTCCTGAAAATCCAAGTGAGGGCCGAGCCCGCTGCCATGGCGGGCGCGGTGCGTGGCCGTCGTCCTCGTTGTCGTCCTTCTCGTCGGCATCGCCAGCATTGTCGGCAGGAAACCTTCCCGAGCTTGCAAGACTGCCTCTGATGCCGGCGCTTCTGCCGAAGACCTTGCGGATGAGCTCACTCCAGGCGCGCCCGCTCACATTTTTGATGGCCGCCGGCTCGCGGGCACGGCACATCGCAGCGCCAGTGGGATCGGAAGGAAGTTTGTTTTCCGAGCGCGCCGGCTCGCTTATGATGCACATCGCATGGCCAGCATGTTTGCCAAGAAGTGCACTCCATGCGTGCCCGCTCAGACGCGGTGGTCATCACGCTGCCAGCGCTGATTCCAGGAAGCTCAGTCCGAGCGTGCCCGCTCGCTTCCAGCGCGCACTGCGTTGTTCAGACCAATTGTCTCTATAACACATAATACGTGATCCTCGTTGATATCCCGAATGTGCGCATTCATTCGGTTCCTCTCCAAGAGAAGGCTGAACGCCTAATCTGCCGGATTGGCCCCGCAAGTGCACGCGAGACGTTCGGCCGCCGTCCTCGCGCGCGAATCCCAATGTGCAGAATGCCCGGAGCGACTGCGCCGCTAGGATGGCCTTCTGGAGGGATCTGATGACGGTGCCCCCGTTCTGGCTTCAGCGCGTTTGTGAAGACCGTATTGCCATATTCAATGCCTGGTGCACGCTTAGGCGGTCTGGAATTGCCACGGCCCCGCGCAATGCTTGTGGCCTCGCGGGCGGGGTCCTGAGGTTTGGTGAATTCGGCCTCTTCCCCCCGTTTCTGCCCGGCGCGTTTTCCATGGCCCGTGGGGGCGTCTGCGCATCCATCGCCTCTTCCCTTGTGCCGACTGGGGCGTTCGTTTCTATAGTTGATGTATTTGGATGTGTGTTTCCATGCATATCACCATAAGCAAACCCCGATCGAAGCGGATCACCATTGCTCGGGACCGTTCGCAGCAGGTCGCCCGAAGAACGGGCGACCGCTTGCAGCGGATCGGCTGCCCGCCCGCGCAGCGCGTGCTGGCCGCGCACAAGCGTGCGGGTGGTGGGATCCTGCCCGGGTACTGGAATGGGACCGTTTTGGCTTAGTTGTTTGCTTCTCCTGGCCCTGCAGTTCATTCCTCCTTTTCCCTTTTGCCGGGTGTCTTTCCGCTTCCACGGAAGCGCATTGCGAGCTTCAAGGGAAAGAAGGCGAACCCCAGGTATCCCAAGGCGGCGGGGAGGCGCCAGGACGCGCCACCCAGGGCGGAAGTGATATCCGAAAGGAAGCTGGTGGACAACTGACGCTTCCCGCGACATCCCCTGTTGCGTTGCCACGAGGCCGCTTCGCTGAGCCGGCAGGTATCTATGTGAAACGCTTTTCCCTCGCTGTCCCACGTGTGCAAAACGGTTCTTTTTCGTGCCCGCATCCTAGCGGTTCGGAGGGTCAATGGGACGTGCCGCGTAGGGCGCAAACGGCATCCGAGCTGCGCTGGAGTGGAGTTGGCTCGCGCCGCTGTGTTTCCACGTAGCCGCCCCGCGAGGCGCTAGGCAGGCCGGTTTCGTATAGAGGCTCCTGGCCCCCTCCATCAGATTGAGGAGTATATTGGCATTCAGAACGGAAATTGCTATGTGCTTCCTTGTGCTCATCTGGGGTCTTGTTGAGCCCAGCGTGGGTCACACTTCGGGAGTATTTGGTTCACATTGCGGCCTTTCGGAATCATCTTGGGGCAACCTTCCAGGCTCTGCGCTGTGTGGCCTCTGGGATACGCGGGCCTCCCACGCGAGGGCTCTTTCCCTTACATAGTTTCATCCATCATCGTCCTCTCCCCGTGCTGTCCCCAATCCTCCCTCTCCACCTCCTGCCCTCCTCCTTCGTCGGTCTCTCGTACCCCAGTCTCCCTCCCGCTCCTTCCTCCGTCCAATATTCCTCGCTCAGAACGGTTTTTGGAAACGGCAGGGCCGTTGTTGCTCCGTTTCCCAAAGTTTTGATCATTTCGTTGCGAACCTACCAGGAAAACGTCTCGCCGAAACGGTAATAGCTAAACATGCTCCGAGATTGAAGCCGGAGCCAGAATCGGAGAAACACGGCGACACACCTGGAAAGCAGACGGCGCCAGAGCTGGGACAACGAAAGCGCAAAATGATTGAATAAAAAAGCCTCGTCGATTCCAAGAACCACCCTTCATATGCGACGTCGTGATTTTTCCCAGTGCGGAGGCCCAGAGCGACGGAACACCTCCCGTGTTTTCTTTTGGTGGTTTGTTTTTGGTGGTGGGGGGGTCAGGGCGCGTGCAGGACTGGTCGAGTCCGCGCTTCCCCCTCGGCCTCCTCCTTTCCTCCTCCCTCCGTCCCCCCCTGGTCTCCCTCGACGAGGAGGAGCAAGAGCAGGAGGAGGAGGAGGAGGAGGAGGAGGAGGAGGAGGAGGAGGAGGACTTCGCCGCCCTGGTCCCGGGCATGCGAGGTATAGGCCCCGACCGACGCACCCCTTCCTCCTCGGGGGCGGCTCGCCGCCGAGCGGTGGGCCGCACCTAGGGCGGGGGGGTGCGCTGGCTCCCGACTATAAGTTCCGGCCGCGGAGGAGGAGGAGGAGGAGGAGGAGGAGGAGGAGGAGGAGGAGGAGGAGGAGGAGGATGAGGAGGAGGAGGAGGAGGAGGAGGAGGAGGAGGAGGAGGAGGAGGAGAGGGAGAGACCCGCGGGGAGCGCCCCGAGGAGGCCCCCCGCGCGGCGCGCCGCCAGGACCCCGCCGAGTTCATGGTCGGCTGGCTCCTGCGGCAGGCCGCGGGCGTCGCGGCGCCGCTCCGCCTGCGCTTAAGTCGGGTATGTTCCCCTACAGGAGGACTATTCAAAATCCCTCATGAATTGACCCCCCCCAAAAAAACCGGACCCCCCTCCAAGTGCGACCTAATATTCCAGGCCCCCCTTTTCGACAGGTCGCCTTAATAAACCGGACTCCCTGAGCTCCAATCCAAAGAAAGCGTCCTAATAAACCGGACCCTCCCAGTTACAAAAAAGGCGCCTTAAAAAACCGGACCTGGGGGACGAGTAATAAGGGATTTGGGATATTCAGAGATAGTGGAAAAAATAGTGGGAGGACGACGTTTCTACTGTTTTTGACTCTTCGCGCCTATTTTTGAAGCATGTTGTATGTCTTCTCCAAGAATCCGCCGGCAGGAGCACAGGCCCGACCTCAGCCTGCGCGGGCTGGGAGGGCCAAGAGTTCGGCCACGCGCAGCGGAGGGCTTCGGGGGAGTGGGCCGGGCTTCCCAGGAGCACCCGCGCTCACTCCGTGCTTCTTCGTTGTGGGCCCCTCCAGACCTGCAGGTGGCAGGCTGGCCTTGTGCTCCGACGTGGGGTTCGGCTCGGATTCGACCTGAGTTCGACGCGGATTCGATACGCATTCGGCTTGGATTCGACACAGGCTCGACGCGGATCGTGGCGCGACGGGACAGGCAAGGCCCCCCGAAGATTCAGCATGGCAGTGTTTCTTAGAAGGCGCGGGCCTCACTTATCTTTTGATGCAGGGCCAGCGCCCGCTAAGAAGCAGCCTCCTTCTAAGAAGCCTTCCTCCCTCCCCCGTGTGAACGCCGCCAAATCGTACCCCCAGGACGACGTACCCCAAGTGAGGTGTCGCAGCGGTCACGGTTCCAACCACGGGGGGCACCCAAACTTGCGTTGTTGTTGGGCGCCCCGAAGTGGGCCTGAGGGTCCACTCTCCAGGGTACGGTACGCCTGCTTTGGGATGCCTTTGGCCTCCCCTGAGCGGTCCCTTCGCCTCGGAGGGCCCCCAGACACCCCGCG